CCTTTAGTGGACATAGCCCCCCAAATCATGACACTGGGAGGATGTTTCACTGTAGCTTGGGTATAGTGGTTATCATATATTGGGCCTACAGGCCGACAAAGTTGCTGTTTTTGCTGGACAAACTGCTAGACTTTATCCCATTTCTCCTTATCCCAGTTCTTGTACTTCTTAGCAAAGGCTATCTGCTTGGCTTTCATGGTTTTGATCAAGTGAGGTTTTTTAGCAGGTTTACAGGCTTTCAACTTGAAATCATGAACACGGCACCTACTAACAGTCGAATGATGAACATTTGTATCTTTGATTGGGAATGCTTGTTTATGAAACATCATAACCACAATGGTTAATTTTAAAATAATTTTAACAGAGCTTGTTCACAAAATCACTAACACAAAAATTACTGTTGCATTAAATTTATCTTCACAATTCACCTCTGAGGATGATCTCAAAGGAGATTGAAAGTACTTGGGTTAACAAAAAATGCAGCACATTCTTTGATGAATTCTAATTTAACATCAAGAAGATAATTAGAAAACTAGAAAGGATTATTATAGAAAAAAGATAGACACAATATATCTATTAATGAAACATTTTTTTTTTTTATTAAGTGTTTCACGGGAAGCCACTAGGACGCAAGGGGTTACAGAAGATTTGGAGCAAGATCAGATAGGAGTGATAGAGGAAAGGATGAGGAGTAGGATAGTGGATAGATCAAGGCAACTGGAGATGTCGATTAACATTACATTTGAATAGTTGGAGATTATAGCTCTCAGGGAAACTGGAATAGGGAAGGGAGTTCCACAGGCGAGAGGTGCGAGACATGAAGCTATTGGAGTAGAAGAGACGGCTACATTTAGTAGTTTCGACAGTGTTGAGATGTTGAGTGTTTCTGCGTGCGTGTATTGAAATAAGGACAAACACATATGTAGGGAAAAATACTGGTATATCTGAAGAGGTATTTACAACAGAGAGATTAGTAGTCAAATGAACGCAGGTTAGTCAGTAACAATCAGAAAGAGTATAAAGTCCAACTGTATCTTCTGGTAGAGAGACGGAAGTGTGATGGTCACCTGATCTCCCAGAACTCTCTAGAACTGTCCTATTAGTAGTAGAGAGATCAGGGGTCCATTCTGATCTGGGAAGGTGCAGTCGGAACAATTACCATAGAAGTATTTGTAAAAAGACAGAGAGGAGACAACGTGGTCTGTGAGAGAGTGACTGTAGACAAATTGCATGCTTATATATATATATATATATATATATATATATATATGTGCATGTATGTATGTATATATATATATATATATATATATATATATATCATCCACACACAGGCTGTTTCACTGTATCACAGCTCCTCAGTGTGGCTACATGTCTGATTGCTTCAAGCCGGGATTGAAATCTGACTGATTTGACATCAGTCAGATATATACTTTTTTCTTTTATCTCAATCTTGTAAATATCATTTCTGCAAAAGAAAGGAATGCTTATTAATTTGTGTTAGTTGGCCTGAGATTTTCTTTATCATGATTAAATTTTTCATCTAATTACTTTAAGTAATCATTTGTCTTTTTTCAATTTGCGTTCATTGAAATTTTCTTCAATTTATTGGAGAATTAATTAAATTATTTTCAAAAATAGAATGTCTTATAACTTGTTGTGCCTATATATATATATATATATATATATATATATATATGTGTGTGTGTGTCTGTGTGTAAATATAGATATTTGCCCTTATACATGCAAGTGTATCTGTTAGCTTATTTGCACTAGAGCTTCCACTTCTACAGGATACAGTGGGTTGATGAATTTTGGTCTATATAAATGATTGTTCCTTTTATAGGAATTTCAATATATTCTTTTAGTATTTGCTATATCACTAGATATGGCATCATTAGAAGGAATGAAAGTTTGCATGGATTTGTTTCATAAATCCTAGCCATAATATTCCATGTTCCATAAAGAGCTAGTATTCAAATCATTTCTAATGCATTCCTATAGTAAAATCATTTGCAATGAATTTCTATAGATGTTTTTATTATTTGCTATATCACTAGATATGGAATCATTAAATGGAATGAAAGTTTGGATGGAATTGTTTCATAAATTCTCACCGTAATATTCCAGGGTATTAGAATAGCTAGATGGAACCATAAATTCTATTCTAATATTTTCTTCTTTTGGAATTCTCAACTCAGGAACTCTAATCTTCCTTTCATGTTGACTATAATCTTCAAAAATTTAAATGTTAACATCAACCATCATTTTAAATCCTGTTCTTTTATTGTCCTCTCTCCTCATTAATATTTTTCTCATTTTCTTTCACTTTCAGTAACCTCTCGTGTCTTAGTGGCTTTATCACTTTGCTTAGAGTGAAATGACTTAAAAGAAACAAAAATGAATGGATTCTTTTCATAAATTGCACTTACTGTATCCTTATTTATGAAAACACATGAAATATATTAATACAGATATTTCCTCTTTCTCCATTTCAAAACAGGGAAGGTGAAAGTTCCAGCCTGGCCGGATCCCTCCTGAATTTCCCCCCCAAGTCAGAGGTTACATCAGTGGTCGTGGATGGCAAAGAGGTTGTGCTGATTGATGCAGATACGTATTCGCAAGTAATGGACGAAATTGCTTTACTCAAGACGAAACTAGGACAATTGACGAGTGTCATCCAGGTAGTACATTACAACAAACTTCGTTTGTCAGTTTCACTCGAAAAAAAATAACTAATCACTCCTGCGCATTTTTGCCAAATTGGAGGCAACGAGCAATTTTGAAAAAAGAAAAAGTAAAACACTTTCACATTATAGCATTCCTAGTTATTTTATATATAGATATATGTATACATATGTGTGTGTATTTTCATCCAGGCATGCACGAATATATATATGACTGGAGAGTCTGTTATTTTTATCTGGTCTCATGTTCACGATGTATGCTTTTAAAAAACAAAAAAGCAATAATTTTATTTTAGAAGATAGTGAATTAAAATAGATATTTTTTTTTTTATTTGCTCTGATTTTGAAAAAAACCAATAATATGCCAGGAATTGTTTGGATCATTGGAAACAACTTATATTATGTTTGGTGTTAGCATTTTGAAAAATTTCCCTCTACATGGCTTACAGTCACATCACATTAAAATACCAGTTCTCGTAAGATCACTAAAGTTAAGCAACATTGAGCCTGCTCAGTACCTATATTGGTGACTTCTTGAGAATGTCAGCTATGGATTAATTAGTAAGACTTGTATCACTAAACCAGTATGATTATTAACGAATCAATCAATGTACTGTATGATTCTGTCTTGAGCAGGTTTTTTTTAACTGTCTAGATTTGACGCCCTATGACTTGAGGCTTTTATTAAAGCTAAAATGACTGTGGGTGAGATCAAGGAGCATGAAATGAGATAAGTAATGGTGATCCTGAAAGTGGACTTTGTAGACTGTTTAGAAATGATGACCAGAGAGGTGGACAAATGGAATTGGAAATTGGAGAGCTGAGATCTAATTCCAATTGGTTCTTTATATTCACTTACACACAAATACCCTTGAGAAAGCTATGAATCTACCTTTCCTCCCCCTAACTATGGGTTAATTAGTAGGACTTTTATTAGCAAATCGTTATTATCTTCAAAAAATTCTTACAATTTAAGAATATATTTTCTGGCTTTAAATAACCTGCAAAAGGTTGATAAGCCATAAAACATAATCCACTCTGCAGAATTCTATAAATTTGAGAAGAGACATTGTCATTTCTTGAATTTTTTTATATTATCTGGTGTGGCATCACATCAGACTGATAATTTTAAGAGTCGTTATCATTCCTTGAATTGTAAAGATTAGCTTAACTGGTACATCCAAGGCTAATACAAGGTGTGGCAGAAATACCTCCCACCTAATGTTAAGATGTTAGTGGTAATGGTATTTTCATCTAGCTGATGTGTTACCATTATGTGGGAGGTACTTCTGGCACATGTATTTTTAAAAAGAGTCATTGTCATTCATTGGATTGTTTGAACTCTCTTATCTAGTACTGTCTTAGCCTAATAATTTTGAGAGGAATCATAATTTCTTGAATTGTTAATGCATTGTGCAGCAGAAATACCTCCCACTTAATAGTAAGACATTAACTAGATGAAAACACCATTGCCACTAATATTTTACCATTATGTGGGAGGTATTTCTACCACACCCTGTATTATCAGCTGTCCTATACTAATAATTTTGAAAAGAGACATTATCATTCCTTGAATTGTTAAGTTTATCTGGTCTGGTGTCATCCTGGGCTAATAATTTTGAGAAGAGTCATTATCATGTCTTGAATTTTTAATAATATCCAGTGGGATATTATCTTTGCCTAATGATTTTGAAAGAATCATTATCATTCCTTGAATTGTTAAGATTATCTGGTCTTGTATTCACAGATTGAATCCTCAACAGAGGTGTACAATACCACTAAAAGGAGCTACTAAATAAGTATATACTTATAGACTCAAACAATGAATATCTACCTCGCTCATTACTTAGTAAATATTTATAGACTCAAATACAAAGTACCAATACTTGCCTATCCTGAAACCAAGTAAATGTTGTTTATAGATTCAGATACAGATAAGCAACATTTACCTCTAAATAAAATTTAAAAAAAAGACTTCTTGGTATTAAATAATGCAACAGGGGTTATTTAATGTCAACCAACTTAATACAACCTGCCCCAGGACAAGCGTTACTTTCATTGCCTTTATTATTATCTATTGTCTTGAATCATTATCCAATTCACTGCCAGAGTAAGAAGACCCTGGAAAAGAAATTTCTTAGCAGATGTTAGCCACTCTAGAACAGCCATTACTTTCACGAGCACCTTCACCATCTTCAAATTGTCTTAAATCTTTAGCCAATTCACTGCCAGAGGATGAAAAGTTCATCTGACCCACTTCCCAAAATCAGTTTTCTGATATTTGGTCAATGAAATGCTGATTTGCAAGAGTGGATTGTGTTGTGAACTTTTCAGCACTTCCCTCATATAGAAGCCTTTAATAAATATAGCAAAGTTTCTGAAAAGTATATTCGTTTTTTTTTGTTTTTTTTTCAAGAGTGCTATTAATTTTCAAGGCTGGATGTTGAGTGTGAGGTACTGTCTAAATCACATCTACAATAGTATCATCACTTTGATAAAATACTTAAAATTAGCATTTGTTAAAAGGCCAAGTGGTTTGAACTTTCTAACCATGAAACCTGCATACAAATCTCACCATGGTCAGTTTGTTATAGGCTGGAGGAGATGATCCCAGTATGCAGTAGCATTAGAAAGTGCCTAAAAACCATACCATACCTTGTGAGTGAAATTGAGTCAACAGAACCCTCAGAAACCCCCAATAGTTGTGCTAACACAAAGTTACAAGTCATCGTGATTGAAGGTTTGAGCATACTGGTTTTATTCAAACTGTTGATTATGCCAGACTATGTACTTTCTCTCTCTCTCTTCCCTCCAGAAGCTGTAATTAATGTCTACTTGGCATTGTTGTGGTATAAATCATAGGTGGGCTCTATATGTATTGAACAAACACAAATGTGCCTGAGCAGGTATCTGCAACATGGATTGGCTAGGCAACAGGTGTACTTGGAAATGAGTAACCAGCCATTATAAAGGTGGGAAAAATAAAGTGTTTTATTTTCAGTCTAAGTAGGTACGGCACCTGTTACTTTTTGTTGGTTAGTTAAAACAATATTTTGTCAGATGCTTCAAGACAAAGTAGCCAGTTCCTAAGTGTTAATTAACTCTTTCTGCAAAGAATTTCTAATCAAACTGTTCTAACCTCTTTAAGAACTTTGAGGAAAAGAAATAAACCAATATGAAAACGAAAACTGCAGTGTATCAAGAATAGCAGGAATTGATTGGTTACTTGAACAAGCAAACTGATTGGTTACTTGACAATCAATCATTGATTATCTACAATAGAAAAAACAAAAAAGTATACAAAATATTTGTAGAGAAAGTAATAATTACTCAGCTTAGTTAAATCTTCGACTAACTTCTTCTGCTGACATAAAGTGGAAAGATTATATTGAATAAATTGCTAGGTCTGCTGCAAGGAAAGTTGGTTCTCTGTTTTATGTTAGACAATTTTTCTTACCAAACTTCAGCTTACATATTTATAAGTCTACCGTGCATTGAATATTGCTGTCGCATTGGTCTGATGCTTCTGCTATATATTTAGAGTTTTTTTTAATAATATCCAAAAGAAGAATCTGCCATGTTATTGGTCTTGATCTGGCATCTTAACTTTAGTCCCTTTCCCACTGCCATGACATAGCTTTCCTCACCTTCTCTATAAATATTTTCATGGTAATTGTTTTGATGAGCGCAACAAGGTAGACATGGGTCTAAAAAAAAAAAAAAAAGTACATATAAGTTTGATCTACTCTATAAAAAGGTAGACAGGGTTTCAATTTGCAGAAGAGGCAGAAAAGTAGACAATCTGGTTTGCAATGGAGTTAAAAATAGTAGAAATGAATCTCATTTGCAGTAAAGTTTATTAAGGAAGAAATTAGTTTAGTTTGCTGTTGAGTCCAAAATGGATGAGATGGGTCTGATTTATAACTGAATCTGCAAGTATCTACTTAGATTGTGTCAACTTTTATGTGGTTCTTACTCTTCTACAGAAGATGCAGAATGTATTTTTAGACCCACCAATAAAGCAAAAATTAGTGTAGTTTCCCTGAGTTATTTTATTTTTTTTTTTTTAGTTTTATCATTTCACCCCAAGCAAGGTGGGATTGCCTTGGTACACAGGAGGTTACAGAGAGCAAAGTTGAGAGAAAAGTCTGGGTATAGGGGGACTGAGGAAATCATAAAAGTTGAAGGGGTTGAAGAAGATAGAAGATGACAATTGATGTTGCATTTAAATTTTTAAAGATTGTAGCTATTAGGAAGCAAGGAAATGTAAAGGAGTTCCACAGGTGAGAAATGTAAGAAAAGAAACTGTTGGAGTAGAATTGGTGGTTATGTTTAACTAATTCAACAGTAAAAGGGTGGAACCTAGATGCCATTCTAGTAGCACACTTAAATTCACATAGCCTGAGCACTATTGGAAAAAAGCTTGTCAGAGCAATTGCTATGAAGATATTTGTAGAAAAGACAGAGGAAAGCTGTGTCACAGTGGTGAGAAATTGACTGAAGTTGAGATGCCAAGTCAGGATTGATTATATTACAGATCCTTTTTTGGATTTTGTGAAGAACCTTGAGATGAGTAGCAGGAACTCCAGACCAGATATGGCAACAGTATTCAATGCAAAGATGAATGGTAGATTCATAAATGTGCAAAATGGACTTTGATGAGAAAAACTTTTTGGCACAATACAGTGACCCAACTTTCCTTGCAGTAGATGCAGCTATTGATTCAATGTAGTTGTTTCACTTCAAGTCAGTTGAAAACGTGAGACCAAGAAGGCACAGTGTGTGTTGCTCTCCATGAGTTGAGCATCAGCCATAAGAATATAAAGAGAGTCCCTTACTCTGCATGCTTTTCGATCAGACATAGTGGTATACCAGTCACAATACTTTAATAATAATAAATTTTAGTGGTAGTTAGCATTCCCAAATAATATTATATAAATTCTATAAGGAGGAAGTGATTTGATTTTGAGCAGAAGCTGCCAAAGCAAGCATTTAAA